TGAGGTCCAGGGGAATACCACAAGGGTGATGGTGGGGGTGGTCCCGAAATTCCCATATCTGGTCCTCATAGGATGAGACTTCTTAGGGTTTGGAGGCCTACTCCCCATAGAGGGGTCAGAGGAGAGTAGTGACCCTGGGATTAATACAATGGCCCCAGTAACTAGCCCTCTCCCAGTCTTCTGTGAATTAGCCCAGAACATTAGCTTGTTCTCTACAGCTGGGAAGCCTTGGAAGACTAGGCGAGAAAGGAGGGCAGACAAGAGGTTGGGAACCAGGATCTTGGCCCAGAACCAAAAGGCTGCACTTGTAGGGAAGAAATCGTGTCCAGCTGGCAGGGGGCGACGCAGAGTCGACAAGTTAGAAGCTGGACCCAATTCCATGGAGACCAACCCTGAGAGAGAAACAGAAGTAGGTCCCCTTGAATTTGGGCATATTGGACCCTCATTTGAGAATTTGGGGCAGGATCATGCCAATGATTTACTATACAATAATATTAGAAAAGAGATAGTTGAAGTGAATGGGGTCCCAGTGGAGGGGAAAACCGAAGTCCCAGGGCCATATTTCATGATAAAAAGGGACCTATTATATAGAGTAGTCTGACTGCAAGAGCAAGAGGTGGAGCAGCTCTTGGTACCTTGAAGGCACCACAGGGCAGTGTTGGACCTAGCTCATAGTCATTTATTCGGAGGACATCGGGGGGTAGATAAGACCCTTGATTGACTCCTATGGAGATTCTTTTGGCTGGGAGTTTATATGGAGGTACGACGATATTGCGCCTCCTGCCCAGAATTCCAATTGCATATCCCCCCACCGCACTTGAGGGTCCCTTTAGTACCTCTGCCAATTATCAAAGTCCCATTCAAGAGGATAGCCATGGATCTGATAGGCCCACTGGAGAAGTCAGCCTGGGGCCATCAGAGTGTGCTCGTTGTTCTGGACTACGCCACCCGATATCCAGAAGCCATACCCCATGAAACACAATGTCCAAAGCGACAGCTAAGGAATTAATCAAAATTTTCTCTAGGGTGAGAGATCTTGATGGATCAAGGAACCCCCTTTGTGTCAAAGTTGAAGAAGGACTTGTGTGCAATGCTCCACATATGGGGCCTAAGAATGTCAGTCTACCACCCACAGACCGATGGCTTCATTGAATGCTTTAATAGGACACTGAAGAACAGGATACAGAAAGTGGTGAGCCAGGATGGGAAAAATTGGGATATCTTCCACATTACCTGATGTTTGCTATAAGGAAGGTTCCCCAGACTTCAACCGGGTTTCCCCCTTCGAGCTGTTAAACGGTTGCCACCCCTGCGGCATACTGGACATCGCTAAGGAGGGCTGGGAAGAACAACCTAACAAGGGAAGAAGCATCATTGAGCATGTGATGAAGATGAAGGACAGGATAGCCAAAGTTCCCCCATAGTGTGGGAACACATGGAGAAGGCACAAGAGACCCAATAGACCTATTACAATTGCTGAGCGACAGCCCAGAAATTCCAGGCGGGAGATTGGGTAATGGTGCTGGAGCCCACAGCTGAGAGCAAGCTCCTGGCCTAATGGCAGGGGCCATATGAAGTAACAGAAGCCACTGGGGAGGTCAACTATAAGGTTCAACATGCTGATCACCGGAAGCCGGAACAGATCTACCCTGTCAACCTATTGAAACCCTGGCAAGCCATGGAAGCTCATTTGGTCATCCTAGAGACATCACCCCAAGAAAGCAAACATCAGGGACAGTTAGGGATATCCCCTAAATTGACTCCTGAACAATGAGCAGAAGTCATCAATATGATTGAACGGAACCATGACGTATTCTCAGAGAAGCCAGGTGGAACCACAGAGGTTCATGACCACATCGTCACACATCCTCGAGTAAAGGTGAATGTTAAGACATACCGGATCCCAGAGGCAAAAAGGGAGGAGATCAGGACTGAAGTTGGGAGAATGCTGGAGCTGGGAGTCATCGAGGAGTCTCATAGTCAATGGTCCAGTCCAGTTGTCCTGGTGCCTAACCCAGATGGCAACATGAGATTCTGCAGTGACTTCCGAAAATTAAACAAGGTGTCCCAGTTTGATGCTTACCCCATACTTAGGATAGACGAGCTAATCGACTGGTTGGGAAAAGCTAATTTTTTGTCCACCCTTGACCTGACCAAAGGCTATTGGCAAATCCCTCAGGCCAAGGAAGCCAAAGAGAAGACTGCCTTTTCGACACCAGAAGGATTGTACAGTACGCAGTCCTCCCTTTTGGATTACATGGGGCTCCCGCAACCTTCCACATGGCAAATATGCGGCCACTTACCTTGATGATGTCATCATACATAGCCCAGACTGGGAGACACACCTAGAAAAGGTGGAAGCAGTATTGGATAACCTGAGGAAGACAGGTCTCACTGCGAATCCCTCCAAATGTGCAATAGGGCTAGCAGAAGCCAAATACCTTAGGTACGTAGTTGGGAGGGGCATAGTGAAGCCCCAACTGAACAAGTTACAGGCGATACAAAGTTGGCCCCCTACCGATCTGGAAGAAACAGGTCAAAGCATTCCTGGGAATAGCTGGGTAGTACAGGCGATTCATTCCCCACTTTGCTACCAGAGCATACCAGTTGATGGATCTAATAAAAGCCTGGGGCCCAGACATAGTGAAATAGACCAGCGCAATTGAGGAAGCTTTTACAGATCTGAGGACCACCCTCTGCAGTAACCCAGTGCTAGTATCCCTGGACTTTGAGAAGGAGTTCTTGCTGCAAACGGATGACTCCAAGGTCAGGTTGGGAGCCGTGCTCTCTCAAATGGTAAGAGAGAAAGACCACCCAATCTTATTCCTTAGTAGGAAATTCCTGCCCAGAGAACAAAGGTATGCCATGGTAGAGAAGGAATGCCTTGTAGTAAGGTGGGCCATGGAAACCCTCCGATACAACTTGGATGAAGGTTTACCCTCATTACTAACCATACCCCGCTGAAATGGATGCACCGGAACAAAGAAAGAAATGCAAGGGTAACGAGATAGTTCCTGTCATTACAACCCTTCCACTTCAGAGTGCAACACAGGTCAGGGACCAGGCATGGCAACGCTGATGGCCTGTCAAGGGTGCACTGTTTTTTGACCCAAGTAGCCCAAACCCATGGTGTTGAGCAGGGGTGTGTGTCTGTGTGACAAAGTCAGGCCGGATGGCTGCAAGAGGGTCTTGGTAGGCCGATATGTTAGCCCCAGAATGTTAAAGGCCCTCTTCCCTATAAGCTGAGAAGGGGTTACCTCAGGTCAATTAGGGACAAGTGATTCCAATTAAGGGCTGCCTGAGGCCTTTAAAACACCCTCCTCTGGGCACAGAAGAGGGGAAGAGAGACAGACAGACAAGCTGCTGCCAGGCTAGTAGCAGCAGGGAAATAAGCTGCTCCAGGATGAGAGGCTGTGTTCCTTCCCCTAGGGGAAACCTGAGTGCCTGCTAGGGGAAGGACTGACACCCCAGAGCAACCAACAGAATGACACCCTGCACCGGTGAGGAGGCAGCGAAAGTTACCCCCCTGGGTGTTTTTTATGTTTATGAGACTTTCCTTTTTGTTTGGTGGAGGATCACCTCATAGGCCAATCCTCAGGCCTACCCTGAAAATAGGACTAAGGAAGCACAGAAGAGGGAAGGCAAACCCTGCCCTGAGAGGGGATGATTACATCAGGTCCGCCATCGCCAGAGGGGGAAGCACTAAGTCTTGCAAGAGAAAGGTGGTGCCTTGTCACACAAAACACTGTGTCATGCCTTGGAAAATGTTAAAATTTGCTCATCTATGTCTTGATAACATTGTTAGTACAATGACAGATGTGATGTGTAAGATTTGTGAACGCTTGATCCAGCCCACCAAACCAACACAATCTTTCCATTTGCAGATTTCCAGTGCTTACACTTATCTCCAACTTTCAGGAGAGCTGTGTTGTATCTTAAAAAAGATACAGCAGGCCCAGACCCTTGTCTTCAGCCAAGGAACGTGCAGAACAAATCAGGCCTGATTCTGGGGTCACGGTATGCAGGGCTGGTCCCTGGGCATATATTAGGGCAGCCTGAGGCTTCTGCCAATTTACTTCTGCTACCAATTCCACAAGGGGTGGAAACCATAGCCAGGTTTTGGAACAACCCGTGAGTTTCCCAGCCAGACACACTTTCCTCCAGTCACTGGCAGAGAAAGTAGGGTAGCAATCTTTATGCAGGCTTTTCATCACCAGAGAATCTCCCTATGCTGGAAATCCTTCTTGGGCCACATATATGTTTATCAATGACCAGGTTGTGTGTGCAGTGTGGTGCAAAGGGACTTCACTGTTTCGGAGGATTTGGCCAATGCATTTCCTGAGAATGGTAAGAAGAACTGAGAATTAACCTTATCACCATTTTGAGGCAAAGAAACATACTTTCTGAGCAGTAAATACAGTAGCTGTTGCTTAATAGCAATCTGTATACTAACATCTTTCATTTAATGGCAACATTTTGCTGGGAACCAATCCTGTTCCATTGACTTTAATATTAATTGGATTCGGATATTGGCAACAGGCATGCCGCTTATCACTTTTTTTTAGGAAGAAAGTCCCTGGCCACAGGCAGGTCTGTGGGGCTGTAACCAGGGAAGTGCTGGGGCTGCACACTATCTTTCCATGTGCTTTCTGGTCTGCATCCTGCCCTGGCACTGGAGTGCTGGGTTGTGCTGAGCTCTGGCCTCAGACAGGTTTGTGGGCCGGGGAAGGCATGTCCCAACACTTTCTTCCTGGCAGCAGCCAAAAAGGTCCACAAAGAATCTTTGATCCTTCTTATATTCAGTATCCATATTGGATTCTAATGAACTGATGTGCTTATGCAATATAGTTGTTTGCTTATATGTGTGTTTACTACTATAATATAGCTATTGTGCGTAGCTATTAATGTAGTTTAACTTGCTCTATCACTGCTGTGGTGCTGTAAACATAGAACACAATGTAGTGTTTTGTTGATGTGCTTTACAAATATTTGTTTTGCAGATTGCAGTGATGATGTGTTCCGCTGTACTACCGGGAAATGCCTCAATTACACCTTTGTTTGTGATGGATATGATGATTGTGGAGACCTGAGTGATGAACAAAACTGTGGTAATTGGGAGTGTTACATTTTTCTAAAGGCTTTAATGTAATAGCATTGTCTAAACTGACAGAATCTTTCCCCTTAGACTTACCAGAAACAGTAATATACCCATGCGTTCCACTTTATTTAGCAAGGAAGTGAACACAGATTAAAGTTTGTGGCTCTTCATAACTAATTTAAAAGATTTAGAGAATTCTATCATTTAATGCTTTTTCAGCAAATGGTATTTTTACACAATTTTTATGTTTTATACAAACCAGGTGCATATTTTATTGAAAAAATGTTGACTTTGTTATTTATTGTAAACTTATTCAAGATGGGTTGTCAGTTTTCCAGATAATTCAGCAGCTCATATGAGACAAAATAGAACATAAAAATGCTGCATATCATTGGTGCCAGCAGAGCATTATGACTAAACTCTTCCTGCATAAGCATCAGGACAGACTTGTCCTCCTTGACCATCAGCTATTCACTGCTTTTTAAATCCTGATCTCCATTGAATTTCAAGGCTCTTTCCACTGATAATTATCTTCCTACCTCTCTGATCACTTCTTCAATGTCTTGTTTGGCAGATCCTCTTGGTCTCACAATCCACATTACATCTATGGCTGGCTTGAAAATGGGAATTTTTCCTGTAGAAATGTTCATGGGGGGGAAAAGTCCCCATTTGAAATTTTGCCACCAGGAAATAATGGTTTCCTGATGCAAAATTTAAAGAGTTAGTGCGGAAAAACCTTATTTTTCCAATTTTTGCCAGAGAGAAAAAGTTAAACAAAGTGAAAGTGCTACTTTCTCTCTGAAAGAGCTACCATTAAACATGAAAAATAATATTTTTGTTAAAATAAAAAAACCTGTTCCTTTTTAGCTTTTACTTTCATTTTCTTCTCACCTCCCAGAAACGTGGGAGGAGAGAAGGTGTCCATTTTTTAACAATTTCAAAACAAACATTTTCAAAAATCACACCCCTAACCAAAAGATTATTCCAAAAATTTTTAAGTATAGACCAGACCTTAGAGTATATCTGCACTTAAACCACTGCAGCTGCACTGCTGTAGCACTTCAGAGTAGACGCTTCCTATGCTGACGGAAGGGGTTCTCTTATTGGCATAGGTAATCCACATCCATTAGAGGCAGTAGCTAGGTTGATGGAAGAATTCTTCCTTCAACCTAGCACTGTCTACACTGTGGGTTAGGTTGGCATAGCTACATCTCTCAGGGGTGTGGATTTTTCCTTATTCCTCAAGTACTTCCATTGGAATCTATCAAAGGGACTACTTGTGCTGTAAGGTATTACTCCTTGTGAGCTAAGCTGGTAGAATCAGGCCCTTACAGTGAAATCCTGGCCCCATTAAAATGCTCAGTTGTGTAGCATGGTTGGTAATCATTTTTGAGAAAAATGGAAACAAGTTAAACTTCCTAACTTAATAGCATAATAACAGAAAACACTGACATAAAAACAATGTTTGACAGTGATTACTCTCAGATTTGTTGTGTCCCATTCTCTCTTCTTCATCTTTAACATACTCTCAAGAACTTTTATACCAAGTGTATTCTGTATATTCAACCTTTCCTAAGGGTTCGACAAAGAAAGTTTCATTACTTGAGGAAACAGAATGATGAAAGGGCAAAATAAGGCTAAGACTTCTATCTTTTCTTGGAGCTTTCTTATGGAAAATTCTTGGCCTCTTCCAAAGCTTAGCAGGCTAGTGGGATCATTATGTGTCCCATAATGCAATGCAGATCTATCTTTTTTTACTTCTAAACAATTTTATGGTGGTAGTGAAGAAAGAGATTTTCCCTCTACCTTAGCCAAGAAGGCTGGCAAAATAAATAGCTATGTCTATAATAGATGAGACCGCAAGAGCGTTAGCCTTCTGAAGAATGCTTTGTTTATCTGGTAATCTTAGGGCTTGTCTACACTACCGCGGTAGTTCGACGGCTGGCAATCGAACTTCCGGGTTCGATTTATCGCGTCTGGTGTGGACGCGATAATTCGAACCAGGAAGTGCTCGCCGTCGACTGCGGTACTCCACGTCAGCGAGAGGAGTACCGCGGAGTCGACGGGGGAGCCTGCCTGCCGTGTGTGGACCGCGTCTGAACCGCGGTAAATTCGAACTAAGGTATGTCGACTTCAGCTACGTTATTCACGTAGCTGAAGTTGCGTACCTTAGATCGAATTGGGGTGTTAGTGTAGACCAGGCCTTAGTTATTTCCATCTGGGAACCAGTGTTTGGTGTGTTCATTCCAACTCTCAACTGATGTCTTCAGCTGGGTGTGTAATAGGAAGAAGTAGCGTTTCCACAAATACAGTATCATTGCCTTCTGCTGTGCCTTATGGCAACCTAAAATTTTTACATTGTCACTTCTATGTCTCTGTTCATAATCCTTTATCTTATCTTTCAATAGGGACAGATAGATCTCTTTGAAAATCTTTTACCTTGGCCTCTTTTTGGTGGTGCAGCATCTTTGGCCATCAAAATTCTTTCTTCAGCATGAACTGTTTTCTCTGCAATATTGGCCACAGGGTCTTCCAAATCCTTGTTGGAGATCACTAGCGATTCCAGCAATTCTTTCATTGGTTGGAGTTTCTCCAAGACTCTTTTAAAATGGTGGCATCCAAGGAGGTGTCTCTTCAGTCCTCTGAGCGTTACTTCACTGAGGAGCCAGACTATAGTCTATTCCTTATATACTATTTGAGTCTTCAGTTTCATCTATTACCTCAGAAATATTTTATTTCTTCCAGTCATATGATCTATTAGAAATTGAGTGAAATGTCAAAAACAAAACCAAAAAAAATTACCAAACCAGTGGGTTTTAGTAATTCTGTGGGACCTCAGCATAGCTACTCACTCTACCCACATCACATGGCCATTGGACAGATCATTTCTCAATAGGTGTTGATATGCTAGGAGAGATGCAGTTCTGCAGACAATTTGAGAGTGATCTGTGAATTTCAGTTTGGGAACAAATACTTTATCATACTGACATCTCTATGTAGGAATTGCAAATTAAATGGATGTACTTGACCTTAAATTTCATATTCAGAACTGTCTATGAAATAATATGGATAAAGCACAAAATTACATGTGCTAGCTGCTTAGTTTCTCTGTCCAGGATATTTCCCATTTGTTAATATAAACCCAAATTACTTTAATAGGAAAAAAGATATTGGTCTATAGTACGGTAGTTACTATTGAAAACATAGCAGTTGCCTTAGGTAACATTGTGACAGGTCACAGCTGCTGTACCTCCACCTCTTCCACCAACACAGACCACTCTGAGACCTTCCTGCTTGTGAACACCAGCATGTACTTTATTTACAGTGTCTCAGTCCTTTCATCAGTGCATATCAGTGCAATCACATCCTTGCACTCTTTTCCAGCTTTCTGGCCCTTTCTTCCAGAGGTGAGTGGCTGAGATGTCTCTACTCCAAGAGCTGCCTTGTCAGGCTCTCCTAGCCTCCTCTCTTCCCCCTTCCTCCTCAAGCACTTCTTTCCTGTGCTCCTTTTTAACCACTTGCCTGCTCATGGGTTAATTAGCTCATTAACATTAACCCCTGACTTGATCTTATGACCTATGGTCCCCTCTCACATCTTGTGGGTGATTTTATGCTTGTTAGAGGTAAAATGACATTATAGGAGTGTCAGGGGTGTATTGCTTATTAGCTTCAAACTTGCATGGGGGCAAATAGGTGAATATAAGTACATGGATTAGTAAGGTTGCTAGAGTTAAGGATCTGTTATACTAGGTGAAAGCTTTGTGCAGGAATGTGATGGGGTGCCTGCCCCACACTGAGATCGAAGGGGTTAATAGAGCCCTGGGGAGGCTGCGCAGGATGCAGCCAATCAGAGGGACTGCAGTGAGCAGCCAATCAAGGCCGGATTGGCCCATATAAGAAGGGCTGCAGAACAGAGTAGCTTCAGTCCTCCCTGGAGTTTGAGGAGTGAGGTGGACTGGGTGCCTTGCAGGCTGAAGGGAGCAAGCACCCTGGACAGAGCAGTACTGCAGGCAGAGACCCAGGGAGCTAAAGGCAGCTCCTGGTGTGCTGCAGGCTGTGGCTCTGAGGCAAGGACAAAGAGGGTGCTGGGGCCGCAGGGAAGTGGCCCAGGGAAACCTACGGAGGAGTCAGAGGGGGCGCCGCAAGCAGTGGCCATCTACAGCATCCCTGGGTCTGGACCCAGAGTAATGGGTGGGCCCGGGTCCCCCGCAACCCCACTCACCACTGAAGAAGTGGCTGGACTACACCCCTGGAAGTGGGGAGCACAGAGTGCGGCACAGACAGATGGCTGTGTCACTGAACAGCATGCCGTGGTCCTGGGAGTGACATGAGTCACAGAGCAGAAGTGACAGCAGCAAGGCAACACCAGAAGAGGGTGCACTGGCAAGAAGAGCTAATTCCCATGACAGCTGGCAGGAGGCGCCAGAGTGGTGAGTCACACCCCATCACAAGGAATTATACTAACGGCTGAAGTGTAGCTAAAATATGAAAGATTTAAGGCAATAAATCCAAGTCAGAAACTTTGCACTCTTATTCTGGGAGACAAACAAGTAACCGCAAATGGGTACAGTACACCACAGAGTTCTGCAAGAAGGGTGTGTGTGACACTCTGAACCTCAACGTAGCACCCTGCAACCCCCATATTCACCACTGCCATATCTTGATATGTTTTGTACAAAGTATATCTAGCAAGATATCATTTTAAAACTCTTGATTTATTGAACATTAATAAAATCCCTGTTGGTTTGTATGTACTATCATTGTATGTGAAGTTATGAGGTATTGCTACATGTGCTACTGAAATATGTTGTAAGGTTCAGAGATGCCCACAGCCAGCCTTTCAGTTGCAACAAAGGAGGGCCAGACAGGAGTAGATGGCCCACCAAAAAGAATTCACTATCTCAGAGGCTCCTTACAGAGGCATGTATGCAATGGAAACTGCTTGACCAATGGGGATTGCCTGACCCCCATGTCACAGCAAGGATCTTTCTAGCATCTGGAAGAAGGTATAAAAAGAGAGAGAGAGTGACATCATCACTTGGTTTCTCCCCCACCTCCCATCTCAACATCCAGAAGATCATCTAGATGGAAGACAAAGACTTGGAACTAGGGATACCGGTCCCAGGCCGGATCGGAGTCCCGCCTGTGTTTTGAGGAACTGTAAGCTGCCTGTGGGGTGAGAAACTGTTTGATTCAAATCTTGCTTAGTCTGTTAAAGTTAGAATTTAGACTATTTCTATTTTTAGTTCTCAGGTAACCAACTTTGATCTCTATGCCTATTACTTACAATCACTTTCTATAATTAATACATCTGTTTTATATTTTACTAAAACAGTGTGTTTTTGGTTGAATTGCTAGGGGAATCTCAACTTAGGTTACAACTTTCCTATGAAGAAGTAGTGAATTAAGTAATGAGCTTACATTGGCCAGGCTCTGACCAGTGCAAGACAGCACAGTTCTGGAATTTAGGGGGGTGGGGGGGGGGGAGGGAAATTGGCTGAAGCGTCCCTACTAATGGTTCATGAGTGGCTGGGAGATCATTCATGTAAGTCAGTTGGGTGTGTCCCTGCCTGTGGCTGCCTGTGTAAATGCAGTGCCTGTCAGAGGCTTGTACCTTGACATTAACATGACCATGTGAGAAGCAGCTCAGGCTGGTAGGTTTGGAAGGTTCAGCGGTCCCATAGTCCAGGTTTCACCCCAGGAATCCCATCACAGGGGGCTTTGGTAATGAGGTTGCTATGGAGTATGTGCGCAATTAGACCTCATTTACATATAGGAATTATTAAGAAATAAGTATATAAATCATTAATATTAATGTTTGATGCTTAATTACGGACACCCTAAAGGCCACATGTGGATGGGGCAGCTATTGACCTTATAATAATTAGGGTAAAGGATCAAATATGGTATATATCCATACTCTTACCATAAGGAATGGTATAAAATATTACACCCAGTTCCCGTTTCTTTGGGTTTGTTGCGTCCCCGAGATGGTGTAATCTGAATCAGGACCTCCCTTCTGATGGGCTCCACTTACTTTCCCTTCTATCTTGGTTTTCAATGGTCTCCATAAATTGTGAATATGCACCATGCAAGATTGTAAGTATGAACAATCTGGGAAACCACTTTACTGCACTTATCTTATCCTTATATTTATGTATATTTATCCTTTCCTACTATGTCAGTTATACTTGTCTGTATTAAATAAAGTTTCTGTGTGTTTCACCAAATAACCATCTTCTCAATTAACTCTAATTACCTGCCTAGGAAAAGAACCAGTTATCTGTAACAAGTGCATGTTGCTCCCCAATACATAATCTTATAAGTGTAATAATTCTTCAGGTTACAACTTCCTAACCCCTGCCTAGTAATCAGGCCCATCTCTGACCAATTAGGCCTTCTCTAGGAACCTAATTAGTGCTAATAGTGACTAGAGAGCTGGTGCAAGCTCCATCTCTCTCAGCATTCTGACCTCACTTTACATCAGTTTTTGCCTTGTTTAAGGCATTTACTATAAGTATAAAATAGTTTAAGTAATACTGCAGGTATGGTAACCTTGTGTACTGTAGTTAATCTAACACTAAATTGCCAAAGTTGTAATGATAATGACCTTTTCAGAGCATGGAATTGTCAAGCAGAGAAATAGGAATTACACAATTGGTATTAATTTTTTTCTCTTTCTTTTCTCTCCTAATTTTTCATCAGATTGCAATCCATTGAAGCAACATCGATGTGGAGATGGAAGATGTATAACGGTAGACTGGGTATGTGATGGTGACCATGATTGTATAGACAAGTCAGATGAAGTCAATTGCTGTAAGTTACCTAATTTCTTTAGTCTCCATATCAGTATTGTTTTAACAAAATGTTAAGGATGGAATATTGCTAGAAAGACAAGAATTTAAGGTAATTTGATTTCATATAGCTTAGTAAGTGGTAAATGTCCTTGCAGGTAACATACTGTGGCAAACATAGTTAAACTATAGTTTAGCTAATGTGATGCCAGTGTTTAAAAATGGGCTCCAGAGGTGATCCTGGCAATTACAGGACAGTAAGCCTAACTTCAGTACCAGGCAAATTGGTTGAAACTATAGTAAAGAACAGAATTATCAGACACACAGAACACAATTTGTTGTGGAAGAGTCAACATGATTTTTGTAAAGGGAAATCATGCCTCACCAGTCTACTAGAATTCTTTGAGGGGGGCTTGTGGACAAGGGTGATCCAGTGGATGTAGTGTACTTAGATTTTCAGAAAGCCTTTGACAAGATCCCTCACCAGAAGCTCTTAAGCAAAGTAAGCTGTCATGGGATAAGAGGGAAGGGCCTCTCTTGGATCAGTAACTGGTTAAAAGATAGGAAACAAAGGGTAGGAATAAATGGTCAGTTTTCACAATGGAGAGAGGTAAATAGTGGTGTCCCCCAGGGGGCTGTACAGGGACCAGTACTGTTCAACATATTCATAAATAATCTGGAAAAAGGGGTAAACAGTGAGGTGGCAAAAGTTGCAGTTACAAATTTGCAATTACAAAACTACTCAAGATAGTCAAGTCCAAAGCAGACTGCAAAGAGTTACAAAGGGATCTCACAAAACTGGGTGACTGGGCAACAAAATGGCAAATTAAATTCAATATTGATAAATGCAAAATACTGCACACTGGAAAACATAATCCCAACTATACATATAAAATGCTTGGGTCTAAATTAGCTGTTACCCCTAAAGAAAGAGATCTTGGAGTCTGTTCGGCACTGCTGAGGCCACATCTAGAGTACTGCATCCAGTTTTGGGCCCTCCACTACAGAAAGGATGTGGACAAATTGGGGAGAATCCAGCAGAGGGAAACAAAAATGATTACGGGGCTGGGGCACATGATTTATGAGAAGAGGCTGAGGGAACTGGGATTATTTAGTCTGCAGAAGAGAAGAGTGAGGGGGGATTTGATAGCAGCCTTCAACTACCTGGAAGGGGGTTCCAAAGAGGATGGACCTATGCTGTTCTCAGTGGTGGCAGATGATAGAACAAGAAGCAATGGTCTGAAGTTGCAGTGGGGGAGGTCTAGGTTGGATATTAAGAAAAACTATTTCACTAGGAGGGTGGTGAAGCACTGGAATGGGTTACCTAGGGAGGTGGTGGAATCTCCATCCTTAGAGGTTTTTAAGGCCCAGCTTGACAAAGCCCTGGCTGGGATGATTTAGTTGGTGTTGGTCCTGCTTTGAGCAGGGGGTTGGACTAGATGACGTCCTGAGGTCTCTTCCAACCCTAATCTTCTATGATTGTGCATAGTTATCTGAAAACTTCCACTTAGTGTGTAGTGGCAGTCAAAAAAGCTAAAGCAATGTTGAGAATCATTAGGAAAGTGATATATAATAAGACAGAAAATTTCATATTGCCTCTATATGGTATCCCCACATCTTGAATACTGCATGCAGATCTTGTCATTCCATGTCAAAAAAGATATATTGGAATTGGAAAAGGTACAGGAAAGGGCAACAAAAATGATTAGGGTTATGGAATAGCTTCCATATGAGGAGAGATTAATAAGACCAGGACTCTTCAGCTTGGAAAAGAGACAACTAAGTGGGGATATGATAGAGGTCTATGAAATTATGACTGGTGTGGAGAAAGTAAATAAGGAAATGTTATTTACTCCTTCTTATAACACAAGAACTAAGGGTCACCACATGAAATTAATAGGCAGCAGGTTTAAAACAAACAAAAGGAAGTATTTCTTCACACAATACACAGTCAACCTGTGCAACTCTTTGCCAGAGGATGTGATAAAGGCCAAGACTATAACCAGGTTCAAAAAAGAGCTAGATAAGTTCATGGAGGATATCTCCATCAATGACCATTAGTCGGGATTGGCAGGGATGCAAAACCATGTTCTGAAGTGTCCCAGGCCTCTGTTTGCCAAAAGCTGGGAATGGGTGACGGGGATGGATCATTTGATGATTACATGTTCTGTTCAATCCTTCTGAAGCACCTGGCATTGGCCACTGTTGGAAGACAGGATACTGAATTAGGTGGATCATTGATCTGATCCAGTATGGCTGTTCTTATGTTCTTAACCTTTCCTTCTGATTGTCAGAATGTATTGTAGTTTCCTTCTGGCTCATTATCATTTCAATTGGAATACTGCAACTGTCCTTCTTAAATTGTAAGCATTTTGGAGTAGGGACATAGTAATTTTTCAGCCCAGAGCCTGAGTCCCCTGAGCCCAAGTCAGCTGGCCTGGGCCAGCTGTGGGTTTTTTATCCCTGTGTAGCCATACCCATTGAGCACACAGGAGAGATAGGCTCTCCGTTCAGCTACCCAGACTGGACCAGGCAGAGCTGTCATCATCCCACAGCTGATATTACATGGAAAGTTCTGCTGAGGAAAAGCCCAGAGCAGACAGAATCTTCCAAAAATTTATCTGCAAAAATCTATTGATCATGTGTAAACTGTTTCCCCCCCCCCCCCAAGTCTTATCATTTGGCAAAATGTGGATGTTTTTGCTCAGAGACAACTAAAGCCCACCCCCTGCCAAATTTCAAGTACCTGCTCCAAAGAATGCAGGCACTGAAGATTTTTGAACAATTTTTTAACATGGGCAAAAAAAATTATTTTTCCTTAGCCTCATTCTTAGAAAAAGCCAAACCATTTGGCTGAAATTTTCCAGAAGAATTTAGCCTGAGCCAGACACCTGATAAGGAAAATTTCAGCCCAAATGGTTAAAATTTGAAAAAGTTATAAGCAGCTGAAAACAGGGTCTTTATAATGGTAAGTGTTCAGCTACCTTTCTAAGCGTTGCTGCCAGCCCCTCCAATAATGATTTTTTCAAAAAATATGTTTAAAAGAAATGAGAGACCTGTAGACATGTAGGATGATTGGAATGTGTTCTTGTTTCCCCAGCATGTTACAGTCAGGGTCTGGTGGAGTGCAGAAATGGACAGTGCATTCCCAGTGCTTTCCAGTGTGATGGGGATAATGACTGTAAAGATGGAAGTGATGAAGATAATTGCAGTGAAAATAAGGGTATGCTGTGTTTCATTCTCTTTGCAGTAAGTCAACCAATCCCCAATGACCCCTCTGTACTGGAACTTCCTTGTGGGAAATAAGAACATAAGGATGTCTGTCCCCCAACTGGCACACAAGAAGTGCCCCCCCACCCCTCGCCCCTCCACATTACAGTCAGAACTTTTTCTTAACCACTCCTGAAGAATCTACCCTGAGGGTAAGCAAAGAGAGATGGAAATGCCATTCTAGAATTTGGTTTTATAACTAATCAGTTTTAAAAAAAATACTAGTATTCTCTGTATTTCAATAAACCCAACTGTTAAGCGTTTCCCTGAGGTTAGGATGGCACAATGGCATTTACATATCATTAGTGGTTATTGCCAGTTGGCAAGGAACGTCCTGGGGAAAGACTTTCCTGATTGAAAACAGAGAATTAGAGAAAGAAGGTGTTCTCATTGTTGAATTACTGGTTAAATGTAGGAAGCTCACTAAGGGAAAAAACAGGCATGTTGTAAATCCTCACAACTGGCAATAATGGCAGAACACAGAACTGACACACTTTGGAAAAAAGGAAATCCTTTCATATAAGTCCACTCTCCTCTGGGGTCATCTGGTGCCTTTTTCAACTCTTCTGTTCCTTTCCCTCCTCCATTAAGTTCTCTGGCCCTTCCCATTGCTATTTTAAGTCATCTCATCTAAAGAATAAATGAAGAAGTAAAGCGGAGAAATTTCAACTCATTCTCCTCTACCAAGATTGTTAGATCTTACAACTTGCATTGGTGAAAGCTACAGCAGGATAGTTTTTACATTTCTGTCATATGAAGATGTAAAACCCAGAGCCAAATGTTGCCCTCAGTTATATCTGTGCAACCCCAATCAAGGCTCAATTTCCTCTCCTTCATATTTCCCCTTCTCTGGTGTCTGTTTTTGTTGTTGTCATTCTCTGCATCCCCAGCCTTATACTGTACTTTCCAGGTCCCTCTACTTCTCCTGTTAGAGGTTGCAAGATAGAGGGGAAAGGAGAGTGGAATATGCTAGAAACTATAGTACTGTTTCTAGCAGCCTCTGTAAGATGCCTTTCCGAAGTAGCCTTGTCACATCCACCTTACTTTCTGCCTCCTAAATTATTCATCACCAGTACAAGATGATTTAGCTGACACATTGATGCATGAGGCACAATAGAATCCAGGTGCATGTCTGTCTGTCTGTCTCTCTCTCTCTCACTCTCTCTCTCTCTCACTCATTGTTTTTCTTGCCACTGTGGAACTAAGAATAATAAAATTTTGTTTCTGTCAGTAAAGTGACCAGATATGTCTCAAAGATACAAGGAGCAGATCAAGAGTGAGAAGGGGCCATTATTATACAGTCAATGATCTGAGTATATGCTTACAGCTTAAAGTGTTCCCATCTAAACACTTTAGCTGCAATGCCTTTAAATTATAAGAAAATTTCCTCTTCTGTTCATTATCCCTAAATATTTAGCAAAATGCTATTAAACACTTTTAGCAATCTGCTATAGAGCAGGGACATTCATTTAGACAACCTTGTAAAGTTTTCCCACTGGGAAAACATCTCTCTAAATTCACTTAGGACTGAAGTTCTGCCTGGTTCTTATCAGGGTGCATACTCTGGAGATTGCTATTCTGCCCATTGCACAGTCCACATAAGGGCCAGGCAGAATTCCTGTCCATACATTTGGGAGTTCAGGGACCACCCCTTCCCTACTGCCCCAGGGCATACAGAACAGGTTGGGCCATGCCTCAGCTCCACCATACTCCAGACACTGGCTGTTGTACGAAGAGAAATAAGCTGCACTTTGTAAAGCCAGAGGACTTTCCTGTGCTTTTCCTAAGGGTGCAGCTGAGACCTACTCAGGGTACGTCTATACTTACCTCCGGGTCTGGCGGTAAGCAATCGATCTTCTGGGATCGATTTATCGCGTCTTGTCTAGACGCGATAAATCGATGCCGGATCGATCCCAGAAGTGCTCGCCGTCGACGCCGGTACTCCTGCTCCGCGAGAGGAGTACGGGGAGTCGACGGGGGAGCCTGCCTGCCGCGTGTGGACCCGCGGTAAGTTTGAACTAAGATAGTTCGACTTCAGCTATGTGAATAACGTAGCTGAAGTTGCGTATCTTAGTTTGAAGTGGGGGGTTAGTGTGGACCAGCCCTTAGACTGTCTGCTTCACATATTCTGCTGTCTCTGCTATCCGAGCTTGTAAATTCTTTTGTTATAATGTCACTTTACATAACTTACAAACTTTGCTATCAAAGCCAAGAGAATTTGTAGATTCTTTGATCCCTTCTTTGAACTAGCTTTGCATAGGGGAACTGTGTGCATCTGTCTTGTATGCTCAGTAAACAGTTTTCAAGGAGTCATAGCTTTGCCAAAACAATCCTTGCAATGACTTTTGTCCTCACTTAGGACCATGCCCAGCTTTAGCTTTCTAACTTCAGTCTTTTCTGCTGTAGCTCTGTCTGAGGAAATATGACTGGAATTCTAAAGCATGAGAATAGGCTGTTTTACCAAATCCAAACTAGATTAAGGGATTTTCTCAAATTTTCTTCAAAAACTCAATTCCAGGCAGAGCCCAAACATGAAAACTCCCCCCCCATGCTAATTTTTTTAAATAGTGAGAAAATGGCCTTATAATTGAAATTTCTCTCTAACCCATGTAATACTACCAAATATGTGCTTAAGAAACTCCCAAATTGTGCGGATTCTTGTGTCGTACACACATGTGCAGAATCAGTTTACAGTGAAGCCAAATATTATGTTAGTGGGGGCTGGAGCGACACACTGAAAGTCTCTCTAAGACAATTGAAAGAGTAAATTCCTATACTTTTAATGTTAATGAGCGCGTTCAGTTCAGAAATTAACCAAGCCTGCAGGAAGACATGGCATGCCCACGTGCTAGTTGACCATCTGATCTTTTAAAATAAAAGTATAGTCTCCATATACCCCATTTCAGAATGGTAATGGGAGAATCAGAGGATTTGTAGACATGGGCCTGTTCAGCTAAACTTTCACACATTCAAATACTTATCTACATCTTGTTTAAACTTTTGGTACCCCCACACCAGTCTGCCTTTGGCAAGCTTTCAGTAGCTCATGCTAGTCCTATAACTTTGTCTCCCTCTACTGACCCAGACAGACCACACTGCCTCAGTCTGTACTTTGTATTTTGAAGGTTCTCTGGATCCAGCAAAGTATCTGTGGCACACCTGGTCTTACTCCCCCCAACCTCGAAGCAGGTGGAAAAACACTACTAGGTCCCACCTAAGGACTTTTAGCATTTTTATGCCCATTTGATGCTGGGATTGCTCATCATCTCTGTAGTGTAGGAGAAGACCAGATCCACCAAGGGCATCAAGACCAGGACACCAAAAAGCTGTATACTTTTGTCCAGAAAGTCTATTCTTAGGCAGCCCTCCAATTCCACATAGTGAATTGTCAAGCACTGTTCATGAAAAACAGTTTTTTGATGTGGGAAAGGGTGACCCATTTCTGTCTTGCCTCCCATAGAAATAGAGGGAAAAAGTAAAAGACACAGTCAAGGAGGGGTAGATGATAACCAAGGCAGTGCTACAAATGGTAATGGATGAATCCTGTACAACTGTCCGTTTTATGGCCGTGACAATCACAATGTGCTGGGCATCTGGAATACCAAGGGTGGTCCAGGTGACAATTGAGGACTTACCTTTTGATGGCATAGATTTATTTAGTGTACAAAAAGATGAGGCAACATTCAGATCCTTGGGCATTTATACCCCAGAATTATTAGGCATATGTCCGCAGGTACATACACGACACACTTTGCCAGCCTTCACCTGGGATCCCTACAGTTCTGTCTCAGCTCAGTGTACTTTCCTGCAACGCATCAGATGAGCAAGTTATTGTAGTTCCATTCCACACACTTATGACATTGACCTGGTGATTGCTTCCTGACACCATTCAGAAAGGGGTGCCATTGTGACTCTTTCACCATTCAGACCAATAGTCATGGACCCATCTGGTAAAGGTTGGGAAGTCCACAAGGATAATCTGCAAATACAAGGGGTTTGGTTCTTGGAAGAAATGAAACTATGATAAACATCTTAGAGCTCAGAACCATCAGGCTGGTATGTCTGGCATTCCTCCTGGTCCTGTGACACTGAATAGTGCAGATACTGACAGACAATACATCCACAATATACTATCTAAACGAACAAGGGGGTGCCTGCTCCCTGTCTCCCTGCTCCCCCAGCCCCCACAAGTTAGTGATCATGTTATCAAACTGGTGCTCCCCATGCAGCATAAATCCAACAGAGCTGCAACTTCTGGGAGACAACAGTGACCTGGCAGACCTCCTCATCAAGCAATCTGTTACCAACCATGAGTGGTCACTGATGAATCCATCATCAACTCAATATTCCACCAGTGAGGAAACTGGTGTTTGCCACCAAGTACCCAAACTTCTATTCCAGAGGAGGCATGAACCAGCGATCTTTGCTGGATGCCTTCCTTCTGCAATGGAATCAGGGCTTTCTTTACACCTTCCCACTGATCACACTAATCCCCAGGGTGATTGCCAAAGCCAGATGAGACCAGGCAAGATTCACCCCATTCTCTATGGCTGAGACTGTGCTGACTGATGAATTTGATGCAGATGTCTGCACAACCCCTAATCAGGTTCCTGGATTGGCTAGACCTCTTGTCTCAAGATCAGGGTTCAATATTCCATCTACACCCAAAGTTTGGCAGCTGATGGTCTGGATGTTGACTGGATGAGCATCACGGAAAGGGACTATTCCTCATATGTTTAGGGAATACGGTCATGGAGTAGGACACTATCCACAAGGAAAACTTACTCCTCTAAATGGAAAAGATTCTCTATATGGATGGCCCAACATGGCTTACACCTGATGCAGGATCTGATACCAAAGATTCTGGACTACTTGTTGGAAATAAAACACTCTGGACTTTCATTCAGTTGAGTTAAGGTTCATTTGGCTGCAATATCAGCATATCATCCACTGATAGTCATTTTTGATCTTCTCCCATCTGATGGCATCCAAATTTCTTAATGGCCTTATGCATGCCTACCCACTGGTTAGAGACTCTGCTCCAGTGTGGGAGTTCAGTGCTGTCCTTCACAAACTTATGGAGCCTCCCTTCGAGTCCCTCTCGGAGTGTTCCATCCACCATCTTCCTCTCAAAACGGTATTCCTAGTTGCCATCACTTCAGCCAGTGAACTCCAGGGGCTCATGGCAGAACCTACATGCACCTCATTTCAGAGCAATAAGATGGTCCTGAAACTTCATGCAAAATTCCTCCCCAAGATGGTTTCAGAATTCCATCAACATACCTGTGTTTTTCCCAAAGCCACATTCCATCCCAGGGGAGAAGAAGCTCCATACCTTGGACGTATGCAGAACACTCCAATACAATGCTGACAGGACCAAATTATTCAAACAATCCTTACATCAGTTTGTGACTATGGCTGGCTGCTCCAAAGGGTAAGCCATTTCATCCTAAAGACTTTCAAAATGGATAACACATTGTATCTCACTGTGCTGCCAACTGGCTGATGCCCTTCTGACAGTTAGGGCTTATTTTATCAGAGCTCAAGCTGCATCGTCAGCATGTCTCTGCAACATGCCAGTATCCAGACTCTTCAGGGCTGCTCGTGAAGTAAACTGCTCACATTTGTCAAGCATTATGCACTGGACTTGGCTGCTAGAGCAGATGATAAGTTTGGGAGACTGTACTCCAATCTCTATTTGACTGATGATGTTGATACTCCTCATGTTCACCAACCTGAAGAAGATACTGCTTGCCAGTCACCTACAGTGGAATCCACAGTGACATGTACTCAAAGAAAGAACGATTATTACACCAGACCTTCTTGGTTCTTCAAGATGTAGTCAGTATGGATCACATGACTTCCTGCCCATAAGCGCTGACTTTTGCTTTTCCCCAGGGGTACTCCACCTCCGCTCCTTGACAGACATTACTATTAAAAATATTCTGAGCTTGCGCACATGAGGTACACGTACATTTAGAGTGGGATCCATACTGACTACAGCATCTTGAAGAACCACAGTTACTGAAGGGTAAGTAACCATTCTTTCATCTTTTCACAATTAAAGGAGTGTGGATGCATCTAAGAGAGGCAGAGAAGTTCTTAAATGATTTAGGATGTTGGTTTGGCTTCAAAAAACAGTTGAGCAGTAGTAGCACACTTGTGATATCATCAGAATAGATATGAGAAGGAGAGCAGTTAGTAACTTGCTACTTCATCCATATAATCCTCAAATGAATATTGGCTTACCATATTGCTGAATGAGAAAATATACCTTCTTTACATACCTTAAGGAAATGTAATTATGACCTTAATGCTGTCTCATTCTGTGAAAATAGAAATCCAATATGGAAGTAATCACAACTGAGTCTATGATGCTTTCTAAAGACATGACAGACTGTGTTTATAGGAATTCAGTGTGGACTGTATTATGATTAGAAAGAATCTGTACTGTACCCACAGATGGTAGCATACCAAGGACTTGAGAAGGGACCTCCCTTTGGGAGATTGGTAGGAGGTAGCTGAGGCGTGGTGGTGGCAAGACTTTAAAAATATGTTTTAATGCCCAGATTTGTGACAATTTTGGAAGTCTGTAAAGATTTTTTCCTATCCTATGAATTTCATTTTAGGATCAAGTGCTCTTGTAAAATAAAAAGACCAAAAATCTATTAGTTCCTGTATGTGCATACCATATTGTACTGTAGCAAATGTGGTAAAGATGTAAAACATACATCCTCTGCCATACCTCAGATGAAGTGAAGTCACCAAAAGAGTGAAAAGATACTCTTGATACACCTAGCTCAGTGTTAAGCTGCATAAATTAGATTGTGAGCTCTTTGGTGACAGGGTCTTGTCTCTATTGTGTGCCTGCACAGTCTCTGGTGCCCATGGACACTACTGCAGTACAAATGACAACTGTAATAATATGATTTTAAACTTGACTGACTGATAACATTATACACTTTTGAGTCTTTGTGTTCAAGAGCAGTTAATTGAGATAACTTTACAAAACAGCCAAAGTCACATAAAGGAGGTGACTTTAAATGCCAGCCTTGGCTGTACCCTTAAGCAAAGATTTTAGTTGTGTGGGGAGGACTCAGAGTCATACAGCACATAGCTAGTAATAGAGATAGTAGAGCAGTAGGGATAGTATTCTGTGAGAGGAAATGTGGATGGGCCAAAGTTTCAAACACGGAAGCTCTCTGGTGAGGCGTAAGCTTTGCTGCATTTGGCTATTGTATATCCCTCTATAGCAGTGGTTCCCAACCTATTTACCATTGTGGGCTGCATATGCTGCTTTCTATGTGTTATATGGGCCACATCCATAAAATATATATACTACCTGTATGGCCCTGAGAATGTCAGATAGGCCACAGTTGTGAGCTGATTGGGCCACAAACGACCCCAGGTCACAAGTTGAGAACCACTGCTCTATAGGCTGGTGGGCAGCTTCACCAGCCAAGGAAGGAAAACAAAGCTTTAGGCATTAGTCTTTTAAGGCCCTTTGTTTTATTGTCTACAAAACAAAAAGCAAATCAGTTCAAAAATACAGAGGTATAATTCCCACGGGCTTTCCCTGCTTTAACCAGCCAGGAGGCAAGAGGACATACCATTCCCCTTTGACCCAGCTTCTTATTCCTCTTATACTCGTCCCCAAATAGCCATGTGACAGGCTGAAAGCACTCCTCATGTACAGCCCAGAATCTGAGATATAAATTTTCTCACGTATTAATTTAAACCTGGGGATAAGAAAAGAAAAAGGAGAAATTATGTTAAACACCAATGTGTTTTTTTCCACCTTAGAAATGTTTTAAACACCGGTGTCCAGCTGTAGTAGTGGAAATACTGGGGGCTCTATGCTCACTACAGAAAATACCTTGAAAATGACAAGTACTCTGGTGGTCTAACAGCAGATTGTTACTGAACCATCTAATGAACTTGGGAACACTTTTAGTTTGTGTCTGTTAATCTGTAACTATATCTTCTGACCACTACACTGTCACTTTTATTCCTCTACTAAATCATTATAATAACAAGCTTTTATTGTTTTTTCTTCAGATCAAACACTATGTCAGGAAGGGGACCAGAGATGTATTGATGCTTCCTGCCCTGATTCTTGTGGCACCTCTTCTCTCTGCGACATGCGCCAGACAAACTGTAGTAAGTAGAGCATGTATTTCCTGCCATCGTTGTCTCAGGACACATTTCCAGAGCTTTCACTGTAATTGAATTTATGAAGATGTGGTACAGAAGGAAAGAATCTTTTCATTTCAGCTTAATTTGATTACTAATGGTTGCAAGTCTAGCAGTTAAGTTGTTGAAATGGTCTTGGTTAGGCCAAACCAGAAACAAATCTGTTATCTTGAATCATGACTAAGATGCCATGCACTTTTTAACATCTTTATGACATTTGACCCTAATTTTTTTCCTCAGCATATTTTCTTTGTTTTGTTCTGCTGTGTGGGTGTTCATTGTTGCAATTTGTTTAAATAAAGTTAAAGAACACTAAAATGTGCACAAAGGAAACAAAGTATAGAGCATGACTCGTGAATCGACATAGGTCTCCCTAGACAAAATACAGTCTAGTATATCGCAAGTATGTACCTTAACAGGTGGCCAAACATAAGTGTAAGCAGAGTCAGGATGAGCTCTACCCTGACATCTGGTGGTGAATTATGGCGAGTGTGGAAAAGAACTCCAGGGGCTGATCTTGTTTGCATAGGCACACCCACTCGCCTGGCATGGAATACAGCAACTGAAAGTGGTTACTTTGGCTGGTGTGGGATCCCCAGTTTCTCTATTATTGGGGCAGGAAGAATAAAGTTTTGTTACCCTGATTCTGTGAATCAAGGCCAGTGCAACTGTTGTATGACAGAAGGACTGAGTGAGTCCTTCACCATTACCTAAGTAGCACTTGCTTGACAAGGGGCATGGGTTACAAAACCCAGTGAATTGAGAGAGGATGGGGACAGGTATGTGTACCTGATGGTATGGGCCCCCTCTGAGGGTTTGAAACACCAATTGCACCGCCTCCTCTCTCCACTGTTGAATATCAGAGTGAACTTTGATTCCCTTAGGAGTCTAGTTACAGGCTGCTGAGCTGAATTCACTTTGGGCCAATGGTGCACCAGCACTGGGGCTCCCCTACTATACTATGAGCTGAAATCGCTAAGAGCTGAAATCACAAAAGAGCTGATGTTATTAAGAGCTGAGATCACTAAGGCTGTGTTAACTAGTGGGGGAGCCTGAAGCTATACTGCTCAGCAGCTGGCGGAGCAATTTGTGGGGATGACTGGAGGAGCAGCGAGCGGCGTGGAGCCTTGCCGGGCCAGTTGGAGTGGCCCAAGGAACGGTGAGCAGAGCTGTTTGCGGGGACGGCTGGAACGGCTCACAGGTCGGTGAGCGGAGCGGAGCGGCTTGTAGAGCGGAGCAGTTCGTGGGATGGCAGGAAAGTGGACTGGCTCGTGGTAAAGGCTGCGGCGGAACCCCCACGGAGAAACAGACGGCTGGCCAGCCTCGGATCACGTAAGGTGCCCCTTAACACCCTGCGTGCCCCCCCCCTTTTACTCTGGGGCTGCACTGACCAGGGACAGAGACTTTGGGGGTTGTTGGACTTTGGGGACTCTGGGTGATTTTTGGGTTGCTGGATTCAAGAACCAAAGGGAAAGGACACAGCCCAATTTGCTGGGGTGGGTTTTGCTCATGGTTTGTGTTATGAATCCTGTTTGTGGTGTTTTTCCCATTTTATGCTGATGTCGTTTACCTCATGTTATTAAACATTTTCTGCTACACTCCGACTCCGTGCTTGCGAGAGGGGAAGTATTGCCTCTTAGAGGTACCCAGGGGGGTGGTATGTAATTGTCCCAGGTCACTGGGTGGGGGCTCGAGCCGGTTTTGCATTGTGTTATTGAAACGGAACCCCTAGATACAGAACCCGGCCCTTGTTGCTGCCAACTTAGATGGGCAGAAGGGTTACATAAGGATAATACAATATTAAGATTGACTCTGCACAGATGTTAAAATAGGCCAAGTGAGGCATGCATATAGAAGAGTTCAATTGGGTACTATGGTTTGAAGAGGAGTTTTAGAGAAAGATGAAAAGAAAGGGAGAAGAGTGTGGAGAGCGTGCCCTCTAGGAATGGATTGTTCATCGGAAGTTTTCATAGAATCATAGAATATCAGGGTTGGAAGGGACCTCAGGAGTTCATCCAGTACAACCCCCTGCTCAAAGCAGGACTAATCCCCAACTAAATCATCCCAGCCAAGGTTTTGTCAAGCCTGACCTTAAAAACCTCTAAGGAAGGAGATTCCACCACCTCCCTAGATAATCCATTCCAGTGCTTCACCACCCTCCTAGTGAAAAAGATTTTCCTAATATCCAACCTAAACCTCCTCCACTGCATCTTGAGACCATTACTCCTTGTTCTGTCATCTGCTACCACTGAGAACAGTCTAGATCCATCCTCTTTGGAACCTCCTTTCAGGTAGTTGAAAGCAGCTATCAAATCCCCCCTCATTCTTCTCTTCTGCAGACTAAATAATCCCAGTTCCCTCAGCATCTCCTCATAAGTCATGTGCTCTAGCCTGCTAATCATTTTTGTTGCCCTCCGCTGGACTCTTTCCAATTTTTCCACATCCTTCTTGTAGTGTGGGGCCCAAAACTGGACACAGTACTCCAGATGAGGTCTTACCAATGCCGAATAGAGGGGAATGATCACGTCCCTCGATCTGCTGGCAATGCTCCTACTTATACAGCCCAAAATGCCATTAGCCTTCTTGGCAACAAGGGCACACTGTTGACTCATATCCAGCTTCTCGTCCACTGTAACCTCTAGGTCCTTTTCTGCAGAACTGCTGCCTAGCCACTCGGTCCCTAGTCTGTAGCAGTGCATGGGATTCTTCCGTCCTAAATGCAGGACTCTGCACTTGTCCTTGTTGAACCTCATCAGATTTCTTTTGGCCCAATCCTCTAATTTGTCTAGGCCTCTCTGTATCCTATCCCTACCCTCCAGCGTATCTACCACTCTTTCCAGTTTAGTGTCATCTACAAACTTGCTGAGGGTGCAATCCACGCCATCCTCCAGATCATTAATGAAGATATTGAACAAAACTGGCCCCAGGACCGACCCTTGGGGCAATCCGCTTGATACCAGCTGCCAACTAGACATGGAGCCATTGATCACTACCCATTGAGCCTGATGGTCTAGCCAGCTTTCTATCCACCTTATAGTTCATTCATCCAGCCCATACTTCTTTAACTTGCTGACAAGAATACTGTGGGAGACCGTATCAAAAGCTTTGCTAAAGTCAAGGTATATCACATCCACTGTTTCGATTTATTGCCACCAGTGATTTGTTTACTGGGAGGATGCAAAATCATTTTGAGGAGTAAGTTGAACAGGTATGAAAGAAAATTTGGAATTTAGCTCATAAATTCAGGTTGGAATTATTTCAGTTGTAAATGAGCTATTGACTAGCTACCACTTTGGCTGTGCTTGGGAACCAGTCTCAGAGGGAAGGTGGTAATGATTTCCATATCATATTGGTATCAGACCTTAGATTTAGTGTAGCTAACTATACCCCCTTCCACTCCCTCCCTAACCTATTTTGTGTAGTCTATGCAGTCTGATTATTCAAGATATTGAATGCCCTTAATTTAATTGAAGACAATGGGAGTTAAGGATGTTCAGCACTTCACAGAATTAGCCCTGAAGTGAGTATATTGACTTTGGCAGATCATGTAGGACAAAGCCTGGGGGATTTGGGAATGTCATTCCCAAGGATCTTATTAATTATTTCAGAATTGCTTGGAGCATACCGCAATGTTAGCCAGCTATGACTTTGTAGCATCTGGCATGATTGATAAGTTGTCTTAGTTTTATGTTTAATGGTGTATGGGGTATCAGAAGGGCTGTCTCACAGCAGCATTGTTGCAGCAGTGTCTGTCCCAGCTCTCTCCAGCTGCTGCTGGTAGCAATAGTGCCAGTGTTCCACGACTTTGAGGGATGACCATCTCCTCAATCAAAGGTCCTCCTGCAAAAGGTCTTTTTACTTGGGCTGTGATGAATTTGGCTATAGTGATATAGTTTTCCTAAGAATAGGCACATTATTAGTTTGAGCCTTTGTTTCCCAGCTGTTCTTTGATCATAAGAAGTATGTTATAGCTTTCATATGCTACTGCTGAAAGAGTTTCGGGCTTTAGATTTAGACTCTGGGTTATGAGTTTACTAGTCTGACAATTTCAAATTTAATCAAGATGAAACATATTCTACAGGTAGCTGGCCTCAATGAGACATTTTTGGAATATGCACATCGGTTTATTTTTAAAGAGGGCAAAAATGATTTTTGATCAAGTATTTTTCTTTATTTCTAACCAGTTTTACCATAAAGAAACTTATTTTTGAAGAATAACCTGTTGCAGGCATCATCCCCATGTAAAACATGACTGACGTCTGTCCAGTAACTTTGGAAAATAGTGAGAGCAGGGGCTACATTTCAAAGCATTCAGTATGGACTGAATGCCCTCAGGTCATCATAATTTCCAATCCATTTAGGCTGACATCGTAATGTAGCCATGGCATCTTTTTAATGACAGTACAGTTGTCTTAGATGCTTCTTTTGAGAGTGTATCGAAGGGAGCTGATGGAGATGTTACTGTCATATCAGACATCCTCATATCTAATATAATTAATGCTTTTATTCAGATCTGTGCCTAATATTTTGTTAGTGGATAAGGCAAATTATTTTTTATTGTATATTTTAAAAATATTTTAAAAGTTATCCTGGCCCTGCCTCGGTGCTGGAGGCTAGACTAGGTGACCTCCCGAGGTCCCTCCCATCCCTGCATTTCTATGATATTTCTATAAGATTTTGGCTTAAGATGACAAATGCGAGGGATTTTATTATTTGTCCCTTGCTCATTAGTTTGTGCTTAGAGATAAGGGTTTATTTCCTATTAAACTATAGAATATACTTCAGAAGGAAATAATATGGTTCTATTACTAGCAGGGTGAATAAAAATCAATGATTTCAAAAAATCTGATTTTTTAAATTTAAAATAAAACCAATTTTATTTTGAAAAAATAAACCTATTTAAAATTAAATTTGAAATTAACATCCTATTTTGAGGCCTACGTTTATAATCTATTAAAATCTTTTCA